ACCGTCCTTATGGTACCGTCATAGGCCGCACGACCACGACCCCCGACAGGCGCATGACGGTACGCCTGCAAGATAGAGGCGATCATCGCCATCTCAAGGCGTCCGCAGCAGGCACGTGAGCAGGCAGCTCATGATTGATGACGCCACTTTTGTTCATTGCTCTGACAGTGGAAGCTCCGAATTCCGGAAGCAGTGTGCATTCGTGACAACGGCCCTGTCATCAGCCTCAAGGCCAACGAAAGGTGCATACTTAGTCTGTTCGGTGGTCCACCGTCTGCTGCCAGAGTGGGGTGGTTTTCTCTGCTGACGGCTCTTTCAGGAATCTTAAATCATCTTCCGTTTTATCCGAACCACCGTGATCGGTTCGATGCGAATTTCCCCTGCGATCGACCTTGAGCAAATATACCTCGTATTATGATTTTACTGGGCATGATGTAGATCAAGCCAATGTATACGATTTTTGAATATTGTGCTTACGTATAATTATTTGATCATGTCCTATATCGGAAGCAATGTTGCAAAAATTAGGAGATTTATTATATCACGTTGAGTCACCTAAGAGAAAGCTTATTCGTATGATCGAGGTTTGAACAAGACATCGCACAACAAATATGCAGTCATTATCAACAACTTCGAAAAGTGAACCTGCTTCCTAATTGCATATATATATATATATATATATATTTGGTTTTCTCTTATAGATATCTTATATAGAAGATCAAATATATATATATATATATATATATATATATATATATATATATATACATACATGCATGTATCACGAAGAGTCTCAGCGTTTCGGAAGCGTTAATGGGCACTAGTGAACGAGGCTAAGCAAAAATTAATCAATAGGTGAGGCCAGTGAAAAACAATACTTTCTCGAGACTGTGCGGACTCCGTCGATCAAATCACATAAAACAACAAATCATTTAAGTTTCCACATCATAGCACTGATTGCACGGTGCACGCTGGGACCTGCTCAAAGCACAGACGGCTAAACCGACGGATTCCGATGACGCATGACAAGCATTATGCTTAGAAAAAACTTACCTCGAACAGCTGCGCAGTTCTCAGGCTCCCACATATCCACATACCAGCGCCCGATACAAGGCACTGTGTTCGGGTCTGCGCAAGGCATAGAAGGCTAAGTCAAAAGCTTGCGATGACCTGGATCGAGAAGAAGATCAAGAAGTAACTTGCTAGAAGACGACGGTATTTAAAGCAATAACTAGACGTAAAATGACCGAAAAGCAGCTCTTAAATCACGTTCCATCCGACATTCATGTGTGCACCCTTGGGCGAATATTATGGATATCCAGTTATTATATTGCCTTGAGCTCCGGAGCGTCTCGTGCAGTTGCTAATATTCTCTATGGTGTCCACTTTGGTGTTCTTGCAGTATGTTTCATTCCCTGTGTCTGTCCAGTATGTGATTCCCTCGTGATGTGTGCGCTCTCGGTAAACTTCGCACCACTGAATTTGCACCACTCGGTAAACTTACTCCACTGGATGTTTCTTCTCGTAATTATTGTTTGTCAATAAACAAACACGATCTTGTGCCCTAGCGATTGTAGGATCTGTTGGCCAAAACCACTCGTACGCCGATCATGGGTAATGTCATGACACGTTTCCTCAAGATACTTTAAAAACCTACGCGCTTCAGAAATTCACCAGCGACCCGGGCTTTGGATTAAGTTTTTGAATCGCGTGTCCCATTGAAAAACAACTTATACGTGAAGCAGCACGGCATAGACAATCCTAGACATTTCATAAAGTGTCGTATTTTTAGCGCAAATAAAAAGGCCAACTTGCTAGTCACTACGGTGTGAATTTCACTAACCTGATTGTAAATAATAATACCGTTTCACGTTACGAATGCTTGACCCGAGGAGTCACAAGCCGCGACAAAACGCCTGAAGTATGTTTGCACCAGGGCTTGTTTCTTCCTGAAATTCCTCGCTACTCGTGGTTTTAATAATACAATAATACGCACGTAAGATTGAAAGATATGTGTGCTAACCTGCAGCACAGGTTCTACCGTTCATCAGCATGCATTTCAATTCTCAGCAGCTACAGCGGCAGGTCGTAGTTTGACCATAGACAGAAATAATTTTGAGCAATTTTGCACCGTCTTAGTGCGACGCATTTCCTGAGCGATGAGGCCTTTGCATGAAGAGCACGCGCTGTCATAAGAACACAAGAATAGGCGCTGAGCTGTCACATATTTTCTGCGTAGCAGTCTCAGGTGGCAAAATTTGTCACAGCGTGGAAAAGATGCAACATTCTCTATATTTTCACGTTGCCGCTGGGCCATGCCTGTATATATGCTTTTTTATAAGGTAACTTGAACTGTTCATTGTTACATAACTTTACTGAACGTGGCCGTGGGCTGAAAATGCGTAGGTCGTCTGAAGATTTCCACACTGATTTTCGTTTTGGAATCTGTATGACAGGTTTCCCTTTCCACGTAGAGTACATTCCACCGTTTTTGTAAGAGGGATAGAGATGTCAGTCAATGGTTTCGCCAATTCGGAACAAAGCGCCTCCAATACCAGCGCACAAATCATGCGATTTCTCGAATGTAAAAGGTGAATGTGCAAGGTATGAATGTGAATAGGCCAATGTGGTAGACGAGCTGCGAGTGAATTGTTTTGTACCTCAACTTCAGTATCCTTCGCAGAAACTGTTTTATTACATATTACAACTGCCTTAGTGTTGTTGCTGTTATTCACGGGCTCGGTAGTTTAGGGCACCTCCTACGCATGTGACGTAAATAAGTTGGGACAATTGCACGTCTGCATCAGAAACCGCTCTCACGGGTGGAATAATTGTCTGGAATATCATCCTTTTCTGGTATGTTACTACCGCAGTAGCACATAGAAACAAAGCCGACGAGGGCGAAAGTTCGAGCAATTATCTCACCCGTGACACTATTACTTCGTCTCGATCTTTTCGTAAAAGCTGTAAGATTCGCTGTTAGCAGCATGATTGTTGTTTGCATGTTCCAATTACACCACCTGGCGATCTCTGCATATCACACGTCTTGCATATACCTTACAGCATTTGCAAAGAGAGATGGATTACAGGTTGATCTGACTTGCACAACTCCGTTTTATTTACATTTGTCAAAACATTGTGCACACATGTCCAGATATGCACATATCATGCACGTCCAGCCGTAATTTATGGGCACGCAGAAAACTGCAGACTATGGCTTTCCTGGAAAGCGATGCAGGCGTTGCCTGAGCAAATCGCGGTCCTCATTAGAATAGTGGAGTAGTTCCACCACGGTAAGAGTGGTGGAACTACTCCACTATAGCCGGGAGTCTTCCATATTTGTATCGGGTTTTGAACTAAAAAAACAATCTTGAAGATAACTCGGTGCGGTTCACAGCCATGTCCTTCTTAAAACCTAAGCTTCTCTAGTTTCTGGGGTACACGCCCGCGAAAATGTGCTGACTCCTTCGGGGAGACTATTCAAGGTCACCCAGGCATCTATTAAGTCAAAATAATGTCTTTCAAATTTTGTCATCCCAGTAGTCATATGACAATCGAGGCTAAGCTAAGCATAAATGTCGGGTCGTTCACATCCGGCGTTCATGAGAACGATTCCCAGGCATAACGGGCGTCGATTTGGCTGTCAATGAATGTTGTGCAGGGTTCGATGACATAATCATACAATGACGTATTGAGAAGCATATTTACTAAATAGAGAAACTGGAGAAACTGTGTTATCTAGAGCGGTTCTTTTCACTTAAAACGACACGTGAACGTTTGTTGCTCTGCACCCGATTTGATGACTGGCGCAAAAATAAATTACCATGCTGGTGGCAAGGATGAGTGGTAATGAACGAGTTGAAAGAAGCCGGTTTAGCCGGGAACCGGTATTTAAGCCTCGTCAGCGTACTGCGTCAGGCAAGACACACAGGCATACAGGGGCAGACGGCTGGGAAAATTCCAAGAAGACGAGCTGGCTAAGTGGGAATAAGTTGAAAACACCGATTAGATTACGAGAATGATGATAGGAGATTGAGACAGGTTCAAACTATTCTAGAAGAAATGGGCGTTACACACTTTGCTCCATTTGGCGCCATGGCCGCCTTTGCCCTTCCGCAACATGCACGATACTCAGTTTCCTCAAAAGGAGTGGTTCCACGGGTTTCCACTGGAATAACGCTGTGGTATTTTCCACTCCTGCTCCGGATCAGGGATGATTTTTGTCTCCGTCAGATCATTCCTCACAATGAGATACTACGCTTAGCGATATCGCTTTCAGCGTTCCGCAGGAGGGGCTTGGCGCCCGAAAGCTAGGTGAAGATCTTGATGCTTCCATGAGGTGCTTGCGATCGGCCGTAAGTACTACCGTAAGAACGTACAGTCCGCCACATGGTCACATGGACGCCTGTGTACCCCTGACGGCGCTGCAGGTTGGATATCTTGTCTTCGGGCCAACACTACGATACGAAGCAAACCAGCTTCTCAGACTTGCGGAAAATAGCTTGGTGATCGCAGCGAGCTATCCACAGTGAACTGCGCGGCGTCGGCAGATCTTCACAGTTACCGAAGGATGGAGAAGAGGGTGCGATGTAAATAGCGATGAGGTGGCGAAAGTACTCCCGCGAGTGCAGCAGTAGTTGTGCTGGCGAGGAATGAATGTGGAACGCTCTAATCTGAAAAGACTTTGGTGACGGTATCGAAAAACCAGAAACCCGATCGCCCTCCCCCCCCCCCCCCCCCCCCAAGACGGGTTAATGCCTATTACATCATTACGCACGCTCTCGCTTAAATCGAAGTTGTAAACAGTAACCAACCAAAGACAGGGGTTAAGCATTGCCCAACAGATGGTGGAGGCGGAGGGGACACGCCCGCGCCCGGTTCACCGCCTGGGAGTCGGCGTTTAAGGCCCGTTGCGCCATCTGAGTGGCCTTGTCCGGGATGGTATCGCCGAACTATATAACTCGCCAAGTGGCGGCTAACAGGCATCAGTTTCCCAGACGAACAGTCAGCATTCACACCTATCAAACCAGACCACCAACATGAAGGTATAATGCCTGCACATGCCGTTTGATATCGCCTCAGCAAAAAAGGATGCATGCCGCCATCTTGATAAGTTTTATGCGTGCTAAATTGTTACCCACAACCAACTGAAAGAGTGTTCTGTCTAAATACATGGCAATGAGTTTGTTTTTCCAGGTCCTGTTTGTGTTTGCCGTGGTGCTGGCCCTGGCCACCGCCAGCGATCTCCGTCGCTACGGAGGAGAGCAGGAGGAGGAGGAGGACAGCGACCACACCCCCTACCAGTTCAGCTACTCTGTCGACGACGAAGACACCGTGTTCTCCCAGAGTGAGGAGGGCGACGACGAGGGAGACGTCACCGGAGAGTACTCTGTCAACCTGCCCGACGGCCGCGTCCAGACAGTCAGGTACTTCGGCGACAACGATGACGGCTACACGGCCGAGGTCAGCTACGAGGGCGAGGCCCAGTACCCCGAGGACCAGTCGTACCAGGCCGAGGAACGCGAGGAGGAGGAGGAGGAGGAGGAGGAGGAGGAGGAGGAGGAGGAGGAAGAGGAGGAAGAGGAAGAGGAGCTGGTTCCCATCTATGCTTACCGGCCAGTGTACAACTAGTCAATGCAATGCCTGCAGCAGTATGTATGCATGTCGTGTTTTCTTTTCCCTGTTTTCGTGAAGTTGCAAGTGCATATTTGGAGATATGTTGATTGCAGCCGCGCTCGTGAGTCGTATTATGTCATGTCTTGCTCACACTTTGTTATGGAATATAAGCAGTGCCAAAATATTCGAGCACTTTTGTTTACTAATATGACTCGGGAATGCCCTGCAGATCCCGGTTGTTGCCCATTATGAGCCCTTATGTTAAAATCAGCCAGTTTTTAGATACGAACAGATACTGGTGGATATCTAATTGCAAGCACTTTGGGAAGTGCCGTTGCGTTTTTGGTTGCAGATGTGCTGCTTAAAACGAGATACCTAATTAAACACAGCTGAATTTCTTTTATTGACATCTCATCGCACCCGGAATACAAAACCCACATCATCATAAGCTATGTATTATCAAAGCTCAGACAGACTGGTACTTGGCTGTTGCAGAAGGAGGAGGAAGAGGAGAGGAGGATAAAAAAGAGGAGAGTGGGGCGGGAGGAAAAGGAGAGAAGGTAGTGACAGAAGGAGGGGAGCACGCGAAAAAGGAGGAGGGCGAGGAAGAGATAGGGCATGGGGCCAGGCCTCCCCTTCGGCATGAAGGGGTCCATAGTGGGCACGGTAGAGGCTCATAAGCCAGCAGAACAGACGCAGTTTTCTGACACAAAACGCAACAAAATTGGACGCCTTTGAGCATCCAGGCGACCAGGAACCGTTACAAGCCAAAGAGAGGGGCCCATTAGCACACCAAAATAATTATTCGCACGTTAAGAGGGATGATCGACGAAATTTTTAAGCTCATTATCGTCGTCCAGAGGCCCTACACAATTGCCGTATTTGCTATGTGTTCGCTTGCAGAGACAATTCGATCGCAATTTAATAGCCAACCTTCGACACACTCGATCGTTCGGGGGTCCTCCACATTGGGTCTCCCGAACGGTTAATAGATGGGGCCCCTTGGCAACAGCGTAGAGCAATCCAAGTAGATGAGAAGTGCCCGAGACCCAATGCGCGACGCGCCAAGGAAGATAGCGTGGTCGTCAAGTGCGCCCTGCTCGAGGCGGAACACGTCCAGCTGCGCCTCGAAATGGCCTGGCTCAAGAACGAGACGGACGGCTCAGGTACCTGCTGTACAGCAGCTAGCCGGCCAGGCGGGTCAGGTACCTGCTGTACAGCAGCTAGCCGGCCAGGCGGGTCAGGTACCTGCTGTACAGCAGCTAGCCGGCCAGGCCGGTCAGGAACCTGCTGTGCAGTAGCTTGTGGGCCTGGCGGCTGGTAAGCTCTGCCGGATCGTCGCCAGACTCGGATGTAGCGAAGAGCTGAGGGGAAGATCTAGTCACTTCGGATTATTATTATTATCGTCATGAAATGACAAAGGAAACGGCGTTTTCGTCTCCGTTGTTGTTTGCGGTGCACTCACATTGTGCTCCGTATGCGGTGATGTCCGTGTGTTGTTTTAGCATGGGGCACTTTGTTTGAAGTAATTTTGAGTTGCTAGTCGAGCTCGTATGACAGCGATCTGATGAGTGATAGCATATACATGCTAACTTAGGCACGTGACGAACAAGAATGACATCCAATAAATCAGTTGACAGAGAATCAGTGTCTTACCTATTTCGCTTGCGGCTTTCAACCTGATGTCATGAGGTGGAAAATGTGCACGATGTGGAAGATAACTCAAGAATATATTGCAATCTTCAAAACATGTAGACATAACATGAAACTGTGTGTGCTAAACCTGACCAAAGATTATGAACAGAAAATACAGCCCTTCGATGTGGTGTTACACCAATAAAAATATTGTCATGCGCTTAACATGCAAGATATGGTATTTGTACAATAAAACGTGCTAAAATAACACTTCACACACTTCCAGACGTCCTCTTATTTTTCCAATTTTTAAAACGAGCTTCCAGCTATGTAAAATTATGAGATCGGCGTCTCAGCGTGGGTATTCCCTTTCGTAACGACGTTGTTTTTCGATCAGAGTTGATTGCCGTCACGGCCTGTGACGGACCATTCTCAGATACGTTGCATATGTGACGCGGGGAGATAAATTCAGGAGCTTCATGATGCATCGGGGCGCTCGAGCGAATTTTTCTCTTTTGGTTAGTCCGTTTATGTTTTGTTTGTTTTGTTTTCAATGAAACAAATTGGTGGGCGTTCGTTGGTGTTCTGGGTGTTCCGGGCGTCTATCTGTGTTTGCCTTCAGTAGAATCAAAGCATACAGTGCAACCAGCCCATGGCGTGAGAATTAGGATGGGATGGGAGCGCGCTCGTTGCGGTGTTGCATGTATGACCACTTGCAAAACATGGGATAGAGAAGTGGCGCCACCAGGGAGGCAAACAACTATTTTTATTTTCATGCGCCAGAGGACCGAGGCAAAACATTCTGTCAGACCAAAACGAAGGTGCATAACCCTGTTGTAGGCAGACCACTTCCAATCATCCTATTCCAGACAGCGGGGGGGGGGGGGGTAGAATCTGCCCCACCTGTAATCTCGGGAACTATTTGATCGATCATGAAGACCAAACGGTGGCCAAGTTCTTACCATGAGGTCTTTTTCTAAATGGTAAGATTTTCGAATGATGTGCCGTATAATATTTCGGGATTGATTTGCTATGGCGAGATTTTTAATGTAAAAATACTGTGTGTGTCCAGGAATGCAAAATAGGGAGACAACAAGCCCCTTAAACCGCGTATTTTTATTGAATGCATGCGGAACAAATGCGATTGTGCACTACCCTGTTACAAAAAAGCAGGCTTCAGCCAACATTTCAGCATAGGTGGAACTAGTGTGACGACTGGGTTGATAAAAAGGGGAGGCCATGCAATTATGCAAATATTCTTGGCGACTCCAGCGCTGCTGCGCGTTGCAAATGAAGTGCGGTGCTCATATAGCGTGGGCATGAGCAACAGCTGTGTCCAGCGATCTGAATGAGGGGGGACACTTCATTTGAGCGGAGCTCATTGCTGCGGCCGTCGGCTGATGGTCCACAGCTGGTGGCGACGACCACCGTGTAAAGCTTCTTTGTAAAAACTAAAAAAGGAGAGGGGTGTGCAGGTTTTGCGAAGGCGGATGCAGACAACTTTATCTTCATACTCATGCAAACACTATGGTGCTGTGAACTGAGCATGTAGCAACCTCTATATGCATAAGCGAAGCTACAGGAATGAAACTGAAGCATTTTGCGCAGAGAGACCACAAGGAAGGATAGACAAAGGGACTCATTTCAACTGCGCCATTAACCAATAGATAAAACGGCAGTACTGGCATTCTTCCTTGTAGAAAAGCCAGGAAAATGAAGATATAGATGCGTTGATATTTCAGCAACATGCCTTTATCGAAACGAATAGGAGAAGACTTCTATTTGTTTCGATAAAGGCATGTTGCCGAGATATGAACGCATCTATATTTCCATTCTCCTGTTTTTTTTTTAAGCGGAATGAGGTTGTTATTGTTGCCTTACCTATGTGTATGATGTTCCCGAAAATGCACTTAACTTACGCAATTTGGACCATGAACCCTTAATGCGTATGCCTATGTTGCCCTCCACCTTTCATTTGCATGCAGTAACAGCATCTAAAAAGTGTGCGTCACAAACCAGTTTCGGGCCGGCAAACAGGAGCAGTACACGGAAACCATGCCCATTAACAGTGGCCTTCCGTCGACGGGCGCGCCGATGAGCCCGTTAACGTCCGCTCATGTTTTTAACGTGCGATCATGGAAATTAAACCATGCTATTGGTCCATTAGCTAAGCGTTTCTGAATCATATTCGTGAAGCTAGATCATTGGTGTTGTACCAACATACCAACATGCCAACATGCGCACAATTTGCTCGGATGACGCTAAGATACAAGTCCTCGACAAGCCGGGTTACTGTGTTCACACGCCATACAAGTGCTACGAATAATGAGATGGCTGGTCTTCGGCCTGTTAGCCACTCAATGCCGGAAGTTCACAAAGAGCCGTGCAAAGAGATGTACCTAAGGCCTGGTCTCGTAGTTCCTTCGCCGGCAAAGAAAGATTACGTCCCGGGCGGAAATAAGCGTGGAATTCACTGTGTGCTCCACCCGCTCTGCGCTCAGGTAAAACCCACTGTGTGCTCCACCCGCTCTGCGTCCAGGCTGACCTGGAACCCACCACACCTGGGCCGAGAGGGCAGATGCGGGGGCTATTATTCCCTGTCCATTGAATGACGGTCAAGTGGTTTAATAATGGGGTCAATGGCAATTTAGGCAAGCGTCCCGGGTGCACCCACAGCCGCAGGCTCTGAGACGCCACTCGCTGCTGGGGCTGAAACTCTGCGTGAACCTGCGGTAATCACATGCCTCTCGTTCTTTCTGTAAATTTATGGCTATCGGTTCCTTTGGACGAGCTTTAGACTAGCTACTAGCAACGAGCCTGCTTGATGAGGACTTGGATCCCGCCGTCGCCCAAGCGAATGCATCACGGCGTCATTTTTGAACATGCTGGTGCGTTAACAATGATCACGCTTACCCAATATGATCCAGAAACACTTCTACTGAAGGCTCAAATTAATTTTCAAAGCCATCCATTGAAGTAATCCAGAAAAGCAGGGTAAATGTAGAACACTTGCCAAGAGCATGACGCATTCCAAGATACATTCCTGTGATATCAGACGAATGCCAAATGGGTCACTCTTAAAGCATCATAATCTAATATTTAGAGATTGCCATGCAGTTTGAAGTAAGCTGATTTGACAAAATAATTTGTTGTGTTGCGTGGCACCCTGAAATTTCATCATCAAAGAGTCTGTTCCACATTTGTTTGAGTTTTGAACTGAAATAGACATAACAGATCATTCGGTGCAATTCACAGCCCTGTCCTTCTTTCAACCCAAACCCGTCTAGCTTTCGAGGTAAATGCCCGTGGAGATGTTCGCACTGTTTCGGGAAAATTATCGCGAGGTCATCCAGGCATCTACGACACCATAATAACGTCATTTAGATCATGCTATTCCATTACCCATGTGGCGATCAAGGCCGAGAAAATATAATTGTTAAATCGCTCAAATCTGGCGTTTGTGAGCAAGATTTCCAGATATAACTGCCGCCGATTGGCCCTCTCTATTTTTCACTTGAAAATATATCGACAGTCATCAGCCCTTATTTCTTCGTACCTAACTTTCTTCGCTTTTTTGAATATCTTTATATGGGGAGCACTCCCTTAAGAAACCACGCATGGAAAGAACTAGCTGGCCATGCCATAAGTATTTCAGCCCGTTAAGAATTAATAGCGTCGATAACTCTCCAAAATGACAGATTAGACCAATCAATATCATGTTCGAGAAATAACTAACAATAAATTGTGTAGGGTGTAATGTATTCGGCCGAGTAGCGAATCGCAGACACGAATTAAAAAGGACCAACGCGCTCTTTTATCCAAACACGAAATTGTTTCAAGCTTACTGTATCACACCAGCAAAAATGCAACGAGCGTTCGCGTAGCTTTTCACGTACCATTTCTAAGTCAGACTATGGTTTTCCGCCTGAATAACAATATTGCTATTGCCCAAATAAATCGGGGGATGCGGGAAGGATGGAGTAGCTAGTACACTCTTTAAGGCAAAAACCGGCTGGACGCTCGTTGAAGGTTGCATTGTTTGATCACTAACTCTTAATAAAATGTCGATGTCGGCGGTTAGAGTGTGAGGGTGCGACACAATTTATAAGCTAGGGAAAGAAACTGGTTTTGCCAGTTTCTTCTGCTCAAATCTAAGCGTATACGCCATACTGCACCACGCACGACACAAAGGCGTACAGTGACAAAACGTTGGAAGCGCTCTAGAAGACGGGCTGTTCAAATGTGAATGTGCAAAAGACACCAATTGCATATGAAAGAGCTCGGGGAGGTGACCGACAAGCTAAGAGCCGACACCAACACCAACCAAATTGGACACGGTAGGAGCGAAGTGATCGCTAGGTTTAAGATGATAGCGATGAATTGAGACAGGACAGAACAACTTAATGGCGCCTCAGCCGCCTTTGCGCTTCTGCAGCATGCGCGACACTCAGTTTCCTGCAAACACTTTCTACCACGGCTATCACGGGAATAGCAGTCTGGTATTTCTATTGTCGTGCCATCTCGAGACGGGTACTGCCTTTGCAATCAAACACTTTGCTTTGTGGATATCGCTTCGCGCGTTGTGCACAAGGAGTTTGGAATCCGAGATTGAGGTGATGATCTTGACGATTCCATCAGGTGCTTCTGATAGTCCGCAAGTATTATCGTAAGAACCAGCATCTTCGCAGCTACCTGACGTGTTCTCGAGCGCAGTGTAGGCCATGCTCGCGAAG